TACGTTAAAACTAAAATAAGCCAACTAGTAGGTAAAAGCTAAAGGTACCAAAACAATACATAAAAGCTAAAATTGGAAAACTGGTAGCTAAAAGTAGCAAAACGGTACATTTAAAACTAAAATAAGCAAACTGGTAGCTAAAAGCTAAAGGTACCAAAACAATACATAAAAGCTAAAATTGGAAAACTGGTAGCTAAAAGTAGCAAAACGGTACAGAAAAACAAATGAACAAACCAGTAGCTAAAAGTAGCAAAGCAATAGGTAAAAACTAAAAGTATTAAATGTCTAGCTAAAAACTAAACTTAGCAGGCTTGTAACTAAAAGCTAAAAGTGCCAAAACCACAAAAAGACTGGCAGCTAAAAATAGGAAAACTATATATAAAACCAAAACATAAAAAGACAAAAATATAGCCAACACACTGAATCAGATTAAAAACAAATGATTTTGAAGCTGTTGAAGGGAACTCTGCATCTCCATGAGTAAAGTTTTGTTTATAAAATAAGAAAAGTAAAACAAACAAAACAAAAAAAAAGCCACAGCTCTCATCTCCTGATCTCTTGAACAAATATAAACAGCTAAAATAGCTTTAAGTCTTCAGAAGTAGTTAATTTGTAAAAAATAAAATTAGCTGACTCAGCATTCACACAACTAGCCTGCTAAGCTAACATCAGGGTGCAAGATATTTATTGCTATGTTTACATGAAATTGTCACCCCATGCTACCCCCTAGAGCCACCCCTGTTGGCCGACTGCTTCTTATCTGTGTTTTACGTGACACAGAAAGGTTTTGTTGGCCGTGGAAAGACGTCATACACAGCTCATTGTGTTGCCTCTGCTCCCCCATTGGCTGATGGGAATCTTTTGTCAGACCCTCACCTGTCAGCAGCCAGGCAGGTGCGATCAGATCTCACTGATTTTGGGTCAATAAAAAGCTGCGTGCGTAAAAAGGACGATGGTAAATCAGAGAGGAGCTGCTTTCTCTTGACTGTTTTCTTCTTTATGAACTCAACTGTAAGAATTAATAAGAAAAACGCAGCAAATGTATTTAAAAACGGAGCAGAGTCAGATTTATGTTTTGAGTTGGGAGCTCTCTCTGGTGCTAAACGCTCCCACGCTCATCAGTCACGCTGCGCTGCAAAAAATGTTCAGCAGTCTCTCAGAGGTGGAACTCAATCTGTTCAAATCAAAGAGAGACTTTGCCAAAACAAGGAAGAGGGGGGGGGGGGGTATTCTCAGTATGTCAAAGCAAATGGAAACATTTAAAAAAAGAACAAACATCAAAACTAACAGATGATAAGCTTATAAAAATAGCAATAAAACAAAATTGGATATACATACATACAGTTTTCCCCTTGTGTTAGCATTTGTTAGCATAATGTTTCATGAACCACTGGTTGAGTTATACTGAAGCTGTCAGAATTTAATCAGAATGTAAGTTTTGTATTCAACCCATTTCCAGATGGTCTTTAAAGCTCAGGCAGGAGATGAGCATTCTTTAAATGATGTTAGTTTTTTTCAGATTTAATCATTTTGTACATTTTCTCATTGATATAAAGTCAGCTTGATGTGTTTCCATCCTCCTTCACGTAACTTATAAAATGTTATCATCCGTGTGAATTAAAGCAGATTTTTCAGTGGGAACCAGCCGTTTCCCCATGAAATAATTAATTAATGAAAATATTTCAGCAGATTTATTTTTTGAGAAAACGACAGCAGATTTAATGGCTTTTTACAGTAAATTGGTTAAAGACGGGAAGTCGGAATTTTTTTAATTTATTTTGAGACTCGGGCAGATAACTGGGTCTTCTCTGTGGGCGACGTTCAGAACTTTAGCTGTAATAAACTAAAAACAACAATGTGATTATAAATGTTTTGAGTTGGACTTCTTATTCTTCCTATCAAAATAAACTAAAATAGCGCCCACAGAAGACTGACTGTAGAGCCAAACTATGTTCTTACATCCATTCGCTTTTGATATTTGTGATCAATCAACAGTTGTGCAAATGAGTTTGAGTTTCTTTATGGATTTTTGTTTTGGTAGTCGGCTCCGTATTCGTGTTTCATAGTTTTCAACAGACCTGACCACACAGGCTGCAGAACGAGCCGACAGTTCGTTAGCCTTTTGTTGGTTTTTGTAAACTTTTTGCTCCTTTTAGCTAGCATTTTAATACCCCTTTAGGTAAACTTTTGATACTTTTAGCATTTAGCTAACATTTAGATGTTTTTAGCTTTCAGCTAGGAAACCTTGGTGTTTTACTAAACGAGCACCATAACGTTACGACTAACTCTTTTTACTCTCAGTCGTTTATGTAGTGAAATTCAAACGAGGTTCTCCTTAACCCCCGCACTCCCTTTGAGTACATGATTCTGGCAACCATTATCGCCAACTGCATCGTCTTGGCCTTGGAGCAACATCTACCAGCCAGTGACAAGACGCCCATGTCTGAACGCCTGGTGAGTGTTTTTTCTTCTTACATTATTTCATGTCTTTTACTTCCCCCTCCAGTCTTTGACTTCCTGCTCCCCCAGCTCTTTACAGATGCACCTTCTTCACCTAACCTTTGAACATATAAAAAACACTAACGACAGACGCAGGAAGGTCACGAGGCGTATGAAGGAAAAACAAAAATTCTGTTTGACGGTTCAGCACATCTTGTTTTTTTAAAAACTCTTGCTACTCCGGGGTGTTTGTAACACCCTTTCTTGCCACACTTGACAATAAAAAAGTAACAGCTTGATGTGTAAAAAAGTCATTTTTGACTTCTTTTCTCGGCTGGGATGCAAATCCAGAACGAGAAGATAATACGACTATAAAGAAGTGGTTGCTCTGATGATGAGAAAGATTAGTGTCCTCCTTAAAGGGGCAACATCAAGCGTCCTCTGCCTCCTGCACCGTCAGGATGTTACATGACAAGATGGCTTTTAATTAGAGCAAGAGTTTGGCTGTTCTAGGAGAAGCTCTGTCAACAGACCAGGAGTGGAGCTGCTCTTCAGATTCAAACCTTTAATGGAGAATTCTTTAGCTGTTTCCTAAAGACCTATTTATTCATTTATCTGTAATGGGTTTTGATGCACAACTAGGGTTTCTTTGATTCAGTTAACCACAACCATCCAACTCCCTCGTTGTTTTATATTCATAAACTCAAAACTGACCTTTTATCGCTTGTTCAGGTGGACTAATTGTTCAGAAGCTATGCAACCAATTTGAAAAAGATTTAAAAATGTATTTTCTATTTTATTATTTTGACAGATTGAAACTGGTTTAGTAAAGTGGTTGGCTTAAAATAATAAGGGTAAAAATGAGCTATGTAGTGAAATTGTGTTGCCTGCTAGTTAAAGATGCTAACAAATAGATAATGTTGAGTGACAGCTGTTTTTAGTGGCTGACAGACCATTTTCATGAAGGTTTTAAATTACGCAGCTGAAGTGAAATAATTAGAAATAGCTACAAAAAAGCTGCTAATGTGAATTAGCTTAGCAGTTAATTTGTGTTAAACATTTAGCTAAAAAGTATCAGCATTAATATTTGCCTATATTAACAAAACGTAAGATCTTTTTAGTGGTTGACTCATTAATAGGCCTTCAGAGAAAGTGACTGACAATAAAATATTAAGCTTAAACATTAGCTATAGAAATCTGATCATGCGACTTAGCTTAGCAGCTAATTGGTGTTAGCTCCTTAATTCGAGAACACAGTTAATTCTGAGTGAGGATGTTGGCTATTTGTTAGTGATAAAGAGCTAAAGGTAACCTTTTATATTATCTGTGTCTTAAAATAAAGTCAGAGGAAACACATAAAGGCTTCAGAAGCTACTAAAACAGCAACATGGACTTTTTACTGCGATTTGGTAACTAGCTTATAGGCTAACGTCTTCCTTTTTAAAGCACATGCTGCAATTTAACTCAGTGACATTTGAGTCAAGGTAAATAAATTTGTATGCCCAAGACAAACAATAAAGAACCTAAAGTTTAGTTATCATTTACAAACTGCATTTGGTTTTATTATGCTAAAAAAAAAAAGAGTTTAAAAAGCAGCTAACACAAATGAGCTAATATGCTAATAGTTGTTAGCTACGAAAGTTAGCTAGTTTATTAGTACCACTAATAAGCAGTTAATTTAAATTAGCTGTTTGGCTATTTATGCTAACAAATTGCTAACTTTGAATCGTTCTAAGTACACCTAGTCTCAATGACTGTAAGATGTTAAAAAAAAGTAAAAATAAATAATTAAATAATACCAAAGAGGGAGAAGAAGCGAATAAAAATATGAATTTGTGCTGCAGACTAACTAGCATATATGCTAAGAGTTTCTCGTTTAAAGCACAAAGTGCCATTAAATCTTTTTTAAACCTCTAGTTTGGACTCTGGGGGCAAATATAAATAACATTTAATATTAATAGTTATAACTGTCACACTAGTTGGATCAATTCTCATAAAAATTACAAATAATACTCGCATTGAATGGTTCAGTTTTAGATTCCATGACAGCGTGGTGGCCGAAGTGGCAGTTTTGGGGTGAAAAATGTGAAAGTCTTTTTTATTCTACATATTTTATTATGAAGACAGTCAGTTTTTTATGCATTTGCTTTTATTTAACAAGAAAATCACCTATTGAAATATATTTTTCATTCCATGGAGTTCTGGGGAGTCATCAGTATTAATATAAACTGCATCATAAGACGGTAGCAGTAAGAAAACTAAGTGTAGCTTTAAGGTTGGAGTAAATATTTCGTATGATTTCAGTTATAATGTGAGATGTATCAGATTTGGACATAAACTGAGTTTGGTTTACAAAACTCTCAGCCTGGGAAGCTGAGGTCGAAGCATCTCCGGTATCACGCGACGTTCGTTTTAGTCGGCCAGCGCTACAGAAAGGTCACATTTCTTACAGTGTTCAGGCCTGTCACTCTGCTTTTATGTGATTATTCATGTTGGTGGCTGCATGTAATGTGGGGGCTGGGGTTAATGTCTTGTCCGGTTGGAAAGGCCTGCAGGGGGGGAATGAGGTTATGGTTGACGTATCTCCTGCTCATGTCAAGTGCTCGCTTTAGGTCCATTCACTTATTAATGGAGATAAATGAGAATAAAACTGCTCCTTACAGTGCAGTTGATCAGGAAACTGCGACCTAATGTACATCATGTGACTTTAACAGGTAACTCATCATGTTGTGTCAGGTGTGTTGTCAATATTGTATTTTAAGTCTTTGTTATTACAGATATGAGTGTATATTTCATTTGGCCAAATGTCAGAGGAAAATGCCCTTTGAGACACGTTTTCCTTCTCCTTCCTCTTTTTCTTTTTTCCAGTCGTCCTTCTTGTTCTGAATGCCAATACAAATATATTAGATTGTAGGTTCTTCTTGGCCCAAACATCTTTATTTTGCCTCTTGGCTTTACTATAGGACTTGCAGAATAGTTGTCGTTACTTTTAAAGGTTTATAACGGAGTAACGTGACCTGGAAGTATCTACAAAGAGCTGTGGTAATTAGTGTTTTCATTTTACAGAATGTGCAATACGTGTTAAGTTTTTGGCTTTAAGCGGTTTAAGATTTAACTCTTCTATCTTGTTTTAAGTTCTGCCTGTCCTTGGTTAATTTTATCGTCTGTTCAGACTCTTAGTCATCACACCGTTTTATTTTGTGTAGTGTTTTTATTGCACTAGTCTGTTGGTTGTACTTGTGATTTTTCAGTCTTGGCTAACTTATAACTCCTGATTTTGATTGTGTGGCTGAACAATGGCTCCTTTAATTTCTACATTATTCCTAATCTTAATGTTGACCTGTAGCTTTTGGTCCCTGATATAGCTGCCTCTTTGATTTGGGGTTTGGATCAATATTTTAAGTGCTTGCCTCCAACTAGACCTGTCGCGATAAACAATAAATCAATTAATCGCACGATAAATTAAAATTATTGACCTCATTTTCATTTATTGTCTTTATCGTTTCTTCGTGTCTCTCTCTTTCTACTGAAGACACTGGATGACAAAAGGCTCAACTCCGGTGCTCTTCACTGACCTTCCCTTTCTCTATTTTCTCTTTTCTTTAAAATCTGTTTTAACCATCGAAAATCACATTTTTGGATCGTTAAAAGCAGCTAAGCTGAAAAGCTAAGCTAGCTGTTAGCTAAGTTAAGCTAACAAGCCAACCTTGGGTAAAACTCCGTCCTGTCAAAGCTCCAGAATTCATGGTTGAAACCCGTGCCTTCGTGTAAAAAGTAGTTTTTCTCTGCAAAAAGAAGACTGATAACTTGTTTACTGATTTATTATTTTTTTTAATTAAAAGATTTGTGTGACAAATGCTAAAAAACTCAAACCACATCGAGCGTCTGCCATTTTGAGAACCGAAAAAAAGGGAGAGACAGCCCATGTCACGTCAAGGGGCCTCCCTCTCATTTTTCTTAGAGACACGCTGCTCGCTCCCTCACTATCCATCCTTTGGTTCAAACAATCTTATACTGCCATCTGGTGGTCTAAAAAGATACTACACACAAAAATTAACCAACATTTCTTCTTAAATTTGACGAGTAATTATTGGCAAATTTCAAACAATGTTATCGTTTATCGCAATAATTTGAGACAATTAATCGCCCAGCAAAATTTGTCATCGTGACAAAGCTACCTTCAACCTCTTTAGATCTTCCACTTTAGCTTTGTTTCTTTTTTAAATTAGCCTCTTCAGCTGATAACACACTGGTTCATCCCTTGTCAAAGAAAATCTGATTAGTCTTTATTGCCTCTGCATCTTTCAAACGGACTTTCAGTTTTACTAGTTGAGGTTTAAGTAAATAAATATGGGGTCAGGAGTGTCTGAGCAGCCTGTAAAACATGTTTAAGTTTTTTTTTAATATACCAATCCTTTATAATGAGGTGATATTTGTATTTGTATATAACTAATCTGAAAAATTACATAAATCCTAAAGTGATTCAAATTACTTGACGTTGTTTAGTTGACCTTATTATTGTGCTTTTTCTGTTGAATATTTGAGGAAAATTTATTTTTTGTGCTACAAACCCAAATAACCGTTCGGCGTTGCCAGGTCTCCTTTTTTAAACGGGACCATTACTGTAATGGGTTTTAATCTGGTTTAAAAAAAAACAACAGAATAATAGAAAGAGTGGGTGTTGTTGAATTTTTGTTGATATATTTTGGAAATTGTTTCAAATTTCTCTTGTCATGTGACCCTAACCTTTTTAAACAAGCTCATAGAAAGCTTAAGAAATGGTGGTTGGACTATTTTAAACCTTAAGACTGACTAGCCTTCTGGCTTGTCTTTGTTGTTCTTTAAATTTCTGTTTTTCATGGCTTCAGCTTCTGCTTTCTGCTCATACTCACATGTTGTCCCCACCCAGCTTTAAGCCCACGTTAAATTGTTTTTCAACATTTTAACGCATTAAATGTGCTTGTTTGTCTTTTCTCTTGCATAGCTTTGGTTGTTCTGCTGTAAGAAGACGTATGTGTTAGTTTTCTTTCCTTCCACCCTCCTTTCTCTTGTCTTAATGCTTCATTAATCTTTCCCTTCTTTCAAAAACATCTTCCGTCAATCTCATCCTTTCTCCGATTCTCTGTCTTTCTGTAGGACGACACAGAGCCCTACTTTATTGGAATATTCTGTTTCGAGGCAGCCATTAAGATCATCGCCCTGGGCTTTGCATTTCACAAAGGCTCCTACCTCCGCAACGGCTGGAATGTAATGGACTTCGTGGTCGTCCTCACAGGGTGAGTCTTGTGCCTGCTGGTTGTAAGCTCGAGATGGATGACATACATGAAAGAGAGGTTGGTTTTTCTTCTGTGAAAGGCCCGAGATCAGGGCAGGGTGGAATCATCTTCTTGCCCTTAGTGTTTGCTTTCAAGGCTTTCAACATGTAGCCCCGGTCTTTAAAGTATTTAAACATTGTGTCACATACTTTGTGGCAACAGTTTATGAGACGGAACAAACCCTTTAAAGAAATGGTTTTCAAAATTTAGTGAGGAAAATTTTTGACTTATCTGTGATGTTTTGATGTACATTTGTTAAGGTATTGAAGAATGACCCTATTCTGGTTCTTCTTGACTTCAGTCCATCAGATAGTTACAAAATAATTGTGTAAATCTTCTTCAGAGACTTTTACACAACTTTAACTAAACAGGAACTTTTTGGCTTTTTCGTGTCTTTGTGTGGAACCTATTATGAATGAGATAAAGTCTGCATTGCATGTGTAGTTCCACAAGGATCAAATATCGATCCTCTTCTTTTTAAAGATGCCATTTGTTTTGTTTATCAGTACAGCAGATCTTGTCGTTCTATGCTGACGACACGTTGTTGTACATTTCTGCTTCTGCAAACTTTTTTAAATCCTGCAATGATCTTAAACATTGGGTTGCTGATTATAATGGACGTTTGCCTTAAAGCAACGACTATTTCAGTTGGTCCTGACTAGGCCTGTCACAATATCAAATTTTCAGAAATTATTGTGATGAACGATAATATTTTTTGAAATTTGACAAGTAATTAATTAATTAGTAATTATTGTCAAATTTAAGAAGAAATGTTGGTTAATTTTTGTGGGTGGTAACTTTTTGACCACTGGATGGCAGTATAAGACTGTTTGAACCAAAGGATGGATAGTGAGGGAGCGAGCAGCATCTTTAAGAAAAATGGGAGGGAGGCCCCTTGACGTGACATGGGCTGTCTCTCTTTGGTTATGAAAATGGTGGACGCTCGGTGTGGTTTGAGCTCTTTAGCGTAGCATTTGTCACACAAAGCTTTTAATAAAAAAATAAACGAAAAACAACTTTTTTCACGAAGGCACAGGTTTCAACCGTGAATTTTGGAGCTTCGACAAGACGAAGGTTTTTTCCCCGAGGTTGGCCTGTTAGCTTAGCTCGTAGCATAATTTCTCAAAGCTGCTTTTAACAATCCAAAAACGTGATTTTTGACGGTTAAAACTGATTTTAAAAGAAAAGAAAAAGGGAGGGGTCAGTGAAGAACCGGAGTTGATCTTTTGTCATCCAGTGTCGTCAGTAGAAAGAGACAGACACGAAGAAACGATAAAGCTGATAAATGAAAATGAGTTGATAATTTTAATTTATCATGAGATTCATTGATCACGACGGGCCTAGTCCTGACTCTTTAAAACTGCAGCTTTACTCTTGTTGACCTCTGCTTGTTGAACCCAGTCAGTATGTGATGAACAATATTTCACTTTGAACTCTGAGACTGATTTTCAAAAACACATGTATCATCTCAAAGACTGTCTTCTGTTACTTTATAAACACAACTTTTTCTTATAACTGTCTTGTTTTGAAAATTTGTTCCATGCTTTTATTTAGAGTCTGATTACTGATATTTACATATTGCAAGGTTTGCAACGCAAATATCTAAGGGTAATTGTTTTGTCATTTATAGCTCAAAGACCTATTCCTACACCTTGTGGCCTCTTACCAAGGTCAAAAGGCAGATTGTTACTTCAAGGCATGCTAGGCCTTCAGATTGAATTAACTTTTGTCTTTTTTCTTTTATTGGAAGAAATATAGTATCTTCTGCAGAGATATGAACATCCGGGGTGATTAAGTGACTTGTTTTTATTATACATCTGTCTTTCAATGGACATATTTTGGTATAGCTCTGATCCGCTCAAGATAATTTCATACACATTTGTGCCATCACTAGGCAGCATGTCATGTACACTCTTCATCACCTCCGCTCTGAAGTCAAGGTCACAAATCTAAGTCGAAGGTTATAAAAGGTCTTTGCTTGTTGGGTCCATTGCTATACGTTGCTGTACAACAGTTTATCAGAGGTTACGGTACTTTTGTTCCAGCTGCTGCTGATTCTTCTGGGCTCTAACAAACTCAAACATTGTGTTTAAGAATTAAACACGTATTTGTCAGTCGCGTAGGTAAAATTGTGTAGTTGTCTTTTTTTTTTATACAGCGTGCAAGCAGGAGGAATTGCATTCAGATCTAATTAAATTTAATTGGAAGAATTAATGTTGGATATGAAACATTAATATTTATGCGCTGAACAGCTTTTATCCTTTTAGTTTATCTTCTAGCAGCTTCTTAAGGTCTAAAGCTCTTTGAAACAGATGATAGTGTTATTGTTTAGCGTTTCCTGCGTCAAACATCGGCTTTTTAGTTCAGATTTTTCCCCTCCCTCCAGGGAATAAAAACTGTAGAAACATCTCTTCAGTTTTGACCACCCGCTGCTGACACAGCTGGAGACAAATTAACCATTATGCTGTGGATGTGAGTGTATCTCTCGTTGGTTGCCATGCAACCGCAGTAGATAATGTGCCTTGATGTAAAAAGGGCTTTCTGTTTGTGTGTTTGTGAATGTTTTACACGTTATTTGACTTTTTTGTTGTCATTGCTTTACAAGCTTTTGTGGGAAGAATGCGTTTGATTTGAAATATCTCGGTAACAACTAAGAAGTGTTTTTATTTGTTTCATATTTATGTGGTTGAGACGGTTTTCTGTCTGCGCATAGGGATGCTTAGCTGAATTTCTGAGTCAGAGATATTTGCTAAAAAGTCATTTTTCAGTCGAACCAAAACACAGCAGTTTTCTATTTCATGCTGTGTGTAAAATATATAAACAGTTAATATCTTACCTGTTGTTAATGGCTCAATGAATGGCTTAATCTTAGAGAAATTAAGCTAACAGCTAGTTTGAATGCAGCCAATGCCAAAGTGGGTTGCTGCTCTTTAAACAACTCCTTTTTTTCAGAATTGTATAGTGATGCATCTGGGTAGGAATGTTTGGGTACCTCACAGATTATCAATGCATTTTGATTATCTTGAAGCTTTAATTTTTTTTGCTTAATAAACAGTGCCTAATAACAAGTAAAAAAAAAAAAAAAACTACAACAAATGACTAACAATTAGCATAGATGCTAACTTAACATTGAAAATGCCTTAGATAAGCTAACACAATTAGCATTGTTTACATCTGGCAATTTAAACACAAATCAAACATATCAGTCTTTACTATAGACAGTCATGTTATGATAGCTTTAACTGTTATTTACAGATAAATATTCTTTAAGGTTTTGGCAACAAAAAGGTAAAAACTAAGTGACAACATTTAAGACATGTTTCCACGACGGGAAGCTACGGGAACTCTTCTGGGACAAATGACGCTGCACTGTAATGACTTTGCTGGCTTTTTTTAAAAGTGGCAACACAGATAAACAAAATGGCGTTTTGACTAAATTGATTCATAATCCATCTAAAAACAGATTTTATTTCCCACCCGTAGTGATTTATGCGACCATTATTTTATAAACATTTACCCCACTGGTAAATTCACATTTCAAGGTGGTTACTAGAGATAGACCTATTAATTGGCTGGCCGATATAATCAACAGATATTGTCCACTTAAAAAATAAATCATAATCATCTATGCCTGTGCATATTTTATATAATACCAAACCAGAAATGCAGCAGCTGCTACAACCAGCATACCGTAGCCCACTATTTAGTTTATTTTAATTGAAAATGTCTTTGTGTATTGTTTTTTGGAGTTTAGGTTGTATTTTGTTAAATGAAAAATACTTATTGGCCAGGGTAAGGTTGGCATCTACCATAGCGAAACTCATATTCTTTGACGTCTAGTTTTGGCAGAAAATATCTAATATTCCTGTTGGAGGTGATCTAGTTTGCTCTCACAAATAACCAACAGCTTTTCTATAAATAAAGTTGTTTAAATTAGATGAAATCATACCTTTGATTTGATTTCAGAGACCCTACGATTTTACATATTGCTAACGTTAAGCCATTTAAACGTCAAACAAGAAGATGTTACTCTTAGTACAAATTTTCCTCTTGGCTGGGGTGCAGTCATCGATGGAAAATATACGGAGTGCCTGATCTGCCAGTCTGTGGTCAAGCTGAAAACAAATCTGCCAATTCCAGTCGGACTTTGAGCAATCGGTGCGTTGTGATTATTGTCAAACAAGCAGAAGAAAGACTGTTTAGGGCAAGATATTTAAATCAAAAACAATGCTACTTTGGGTTGTCAGTCACTGCATTGATTTAAAAAAAAAAAAGCTCGGTCATCAATCAAAAGTAAGTAGTCGAGGATTTATTGCTCTAATATAACACGTGGCATGAGATGACGCCCTTGGGTCTTTGCTACAAAGGAGGAGGAATAAACAATCCTGCTAAAATGCTAAAACATCCATCAATCATCATTTAAAGCAGAAATCAGTATTGCTTCTTACTGTTTTTCAGCTTTAAGTCAGCTCTCTACCAGCTGCACAAACCACGGCTCCATCCTTGGGTTAATTGTGTTTGTACAGCCATCCAGTCCTAATGAAAGGGTTGAAATGATAGTGTAGCTGGAGGCAGTGGCAGACCTTTATTCTGTCCTGATCAGGCATTAGGAGTCTCTAATTAGAGAATAAATCTGCCTGGGTCGCCAAAGGCTTAATCAATAGAGGAGCAAACTGGCTGCCTTAGAAACGCAGAACCACGACGAGGACACGGCCTTTCATAACAACAGAAGAACGAGTTCAAATTCTCCCAACACTGGTGATATTTGTCGACACCGAGTTATAAATCCAGCCAGACCCCCCCCCCCCCCAACCCATAAGAATAAAAAGCGCACCTTGAATAACCTGCAGGTTCACTTTAGAGAGTTCACAGAGAGAATCAGACGTAGGGAACATTGTTTTTATAAAAGCAGAGAGACCAAAGAAATTTCTGACATTTTCTAATGTAGCCATTACTCTGAAAGCCAAGTAGGACGTATAATGTTCTGTCCACGACCGTAGAGTGCTCAGTCCTGCAGGCTGCTGCACTGGAGATGTTCTTTTTCAGATGAAATCCACTTGATCCACATGAATTACCATCACTGATGCCTCATTAGTGTAATTTCTCACGAGTCAGTTTCCGCCTTCTGAGGAATTCAATCATGTTGCATCAACAAGAGTCTGTTTTTACCAAACAGTCATTCGATTTTCCAGAAATTACTGCTAAAATTAAAATTTACTCTGGTGATGGACCGACTAACAAATGAGGTCAGACAGGAATCCTTGTGG